TTATACTTAAAACTTGTGTGTGTGTGTTTTAAGAATTATTTATTGTACTTTTTAAATAATTATTTTATTTTTAAAAATTTATTATTATTCAGTGTGATGACAAGAGCGACTGCTGCCAAGGCCTGGACTCGAACAGTGGTCAGCCAGGTGGGAGTCCAGTATCTTAACCACCACACCACCTGCCGGCCCTATATTTATTTATTTTTAACTTCTATAGGCCACCAGAGAGACAAACGCAGAGAGAGAGAGAGAGAGAGAGAGAGAGGGAAAAGGGAGAAAGCAAGCGACTTGGTCCAGGATTCGCACCACAGTCGACCATAGGAGTCCAGCGCCTTAACCGCAGTAACATCTGCTGGCCTCCTCTATCCTAAACTTCTTTTGTACTTGTAATTCTTTTCTCATCCACTGAAAAATCTTAGTTTCTAATGTTAATACAATTAGTTCCTTGCTTTATTCTACAATAGCATAAATTCAAGATGGCGCAGCAATTTCCATGCCGGGTTAGCTGTGCTTAGACTGTACCACAGCAGTGAGGTGTGGTCAAAATCCCGGTAACGCTCCCAGTAGGGCTTCTCTCTAGGCAGTTATGCTACCAGTTTGACTCCAATCGTTAGTTTCCAGTCATTTTTTAATTTTTATGAAGTGCTTCATTATTTTTATTAAACTTCATTTTATAAATATGCAAATTCTCTATTTGAGCTTTGCTATAGGCTGTGTGTGCGTGCCTGAGAGACAGGAAGGGAGAAGTCACTCCTCAGGGGGCCCGGCCACACTGTAATGCTGTCTCCTCCAACCTCTCGGGATGCATCCTTTGGGGCATGCATGCACACGGCTAGCATGTTTTCCAAGCTACCAGGTCCCAGATGCAAGCTGTAGGAGCTAAGCCATCCTAGCCTCGTAACACCTCAGGCCCCTAAATATGCCAAAAATGTACGAAGTTCTAGAACAGTTAAGTATGTAATAAAGTACATCTACAGAAGTCTTGTTTCTGCCCGTATCCCCTCCACCCCACACAACTTTTAGTAGTTGGGGGCTTGGTTTTGCCAGGTGGCATGGTGGTTAAGGGCACCGGACTCCCACATGGCCGACTGCAATTCAAGTCCTGGACCTGGTGGCTTGCTTTCTCACTTTCCTTCTCTCTCTCACTCTGTCCCTCTTTGGTCTAATTAAAATAAATAAAGTTAAATAATTCTTCTTTAAAAAGAATTTTGCAGGCTTATCTTCCATTGTTTTATTTCTTATTTATGAGAAAGAGAGGGAGAAGCACTGTCCACAGGGCTGTCACACAGCAATCCCCCTCCTGCAGTCCTCCAGTGGCATGCACACATGAACCACGGTGGGCCTGTGCCTTCCAGCTCTTCAGTCTCGTCCACTCCCGCCCATGCCCTAGAGCTGGGCCTATTCGTCTTTTAAATATAAGCACCACTAGTTTACATTAGAGCTCCCCATTACACTAACGGAACACAGCACACCATAAACACCAGTATTCACCTTGCTTATGTCACTTAGCAACACACACCGGGATACCTCATATTAGTGTACGATTTTTAGTATACATAAGAAAGCTGCATATCGGGGACCAGCAAGTGGTTTGGTGGTTAAGGCGCTGGACACTCCCACATGGCTGACCATGGTTCAAGTCCCAGACCTGGTGGCCTGCTGTCTCATTTTCCTTCGCTCTCCCTCTCTCTGTCAAATTAAAAATAACTGAATAAATAAAATTAATTAAATAATTCTTTTAAAAAAGAAAGCTGCATATCTGTATATGGTCCCATAGTACTCCATCCTGTGTGTATGTAATTTATTCAACAAGTTATTACTGGACATGAGACCAATTTCTAGCTCTTTGCTATTCATTAATGCCATAATGAAGAACTTGCACATACAGCTTTTTGCCAGTACATCACTAAGATAGGTTCTTTTTTTTTTTTTTTTTTTTTTTTTTAAGGTTTTTGCCATAGGGCAGGTGTACTCGCACTGGAGACAGAGGTGATGACAGAGAAGTCGCTCCCTAGGGAGATGGCCATACTACAATCCCTCCTCCCCACTCCCCACCTGGGCTTTTGGCATGTACACACACTTGCCCAGAGTGATTTTCAAGCCGCCAGGTACAGGACTCGAACCACACTCGGCCATGTGGGAGTCCAGCACCTTAACCGCCACAACACCTGCAGGCCCCAGTAGATTCTTTTTTTATTTTTTTTTAATGAAAGAACCATTTTATTTAATTTTTTTTTTCATTATTATCATTCTTTATTTCAATTTTGACCAGAAAGAGAGAGGGAAAGTGAGAAAGCAAGTCACCAGGTCCAGGACCCAAACCACGGCTGGCCACGTGAGAGTCCAGTGCCCCAACGACCACACCACCCGCCAACCCCTTTCCCCCTTGTCTTAAAAGTCTAAGATATGACCTAGGGTTACTGGGTCACATATGATGTGGAATATCTTCCCAGATTTCCTTGATAGGTTACATTGCTCTGCCTTCCCACCACCAGTGTATGGGAATGCTAGCCTCAGGCTTATCGGATGGATGAGGCGGCAGTGAAGGGACAAGGCTCCTACCCCAGGAACTTTCAGGATGGTAGCACTATGTACACACAGTGCTCTCCTGTCCTGTCCTGTGCTAGCTCAGTCCTTCAGCTACAGGGACTATAGGGTCCCCCATGCTTTCTTTTGTCCTGAGAAACATAAAGTGCCTTGACCACTCTGTGACCTAACCACCTGCATTTGTCCTGCAGGCTTGACTCCAAGCCAAGGGTCTTAAACATTCCAAGGCACTGCCAAGCGTTTAGGATGTTGTCCAAAACACAGAAAGAAACTGGCCTCAGCTCTGAGCCAAATTTCGTAAACCCCACCCCAAGCCCCTCCGTGCAGACACACGCAGGGGAACACCTTTCGCTGCCAGTCCAGAGGCTCCACCGCTTGCTCTGTGAATTTCCCCTAATAAATGTTCTGGCATTTAGTGCTTCTTTTCACAAATTCCAATCGCCCCCGCCCCCATCTAGAGGGTTCGAGGCGCTTCCTTGTGAAAATTCCCCAGCTGCTGGGTTTTGGAGCAACTCCAGCCCTGGGGTTAGTGGAAGAGACAGGGGCCCTTTCTAACACCTCAACAATGTGTTCACAGGACCATTTTTAATCGTATGACTACAGAGGAACCCCAATTTAAGTTTCAAGGCCCCACAAGACCTCAATCCACCTCCCAGATTATTAGAGTCAACTTATCTCGAGGGGGAGTTTCAAATCTCAGTTCTGCAGCCTGCTTCTATGAGTGACTGAGGCAAATAAAAGGAAAAGGAGATCTCTCTCCCTGGTTCAATCAATAACCCACACAGGCAACTAGCTGTCTACACAGCCTGCTGCATCTTCTACCTCTGAGGGTGGAAAACAAGTCTTGCTAACGTCAGAATTCCTAGCAAACAGTTCAAACCTGGTACACAAAAGGGCTCAGAAGAGAAGTTGCAACAGATTACCGAGCAGGTTTATGGCCTTTTGGGCGGGTGGGGATTCAGGACAGGCGCGCTCCAAGACACCTGGTAAACAGGGCGGATGTGTCTCCTCACCTGTAGGAACACGGTTAACAATGCAGCCTGCTTGTGGGTTCCGTTAGGATGAGGCGAGAACGTTTGTATGAAGACCTAACCCCAGCCCCAGACTCTCACGAGTAGGTCCATAAACGGAAGACGGAAAATAAACTGGGTTGATCCTTGAGCGCAGTGACAGGGAGCCTTTGTACACCGTGCCTTACAGAGCGCCGGTGGCGAATAAATCGGGAAGGAACGGACGTTTCTGGAGGATGCATGGTGACCTGTGCCACTAACCGGATTGGTCCCGGTCTCTGGGAGAACGTTAGTCCCCGGGCTGGCTGTCAGGCCGACTGCCTGCGGGGATCTGAGCCGGGGACCGGGCAGCTGGGGCCGCGGCTGAGTCCGGCGCGGGAGAATGCGGGTC